TGCGGGGCCGGGGCGGGGCGGTGCCGTCGGTGGGCGCGGCCCCCGCCCGTGACAGGTGCGCGGCGCGGCCAATGGCGGCCTGCGGCTCCCGCTACCGCCAATGGAGGCGGCGGCGGCGGCGGCCCAATGGGAGCCGCCTGCGGGCCTTGAAGGGGCGCTCCGCGCCGCGCGGCCGCACTCCGCCCCCGCCGCCGGGAGACGCGGCCCGGGCCGCGGTGCTTCGTGCTGCCGCCTCCGCCGCTCCCATGGAAAAGTCCAAAAATTTCCGCATCGACGCGCTGCTGGCTGTCGATCCCCCCAAGGCGGCGGCGCAGAGCGCTCCGCTGGCCCTGGTCACCGGCGGCTCCGGCGGCGGCAGCCCTCCGTCTTCGTCGTCGTCCTCCTCGTCGTCGTCGTCCTCCTCTTCTTCCGAGCTCCCCGCCGACTGCCCGCGCACCGACAGCCCCTCTCCGCCTCGCCTGCTGCCCGCGCACTGCGCGCTGCTGCCCAAAGCCGCCTTCCTGGGCGGGGGGGGACCCGGGGGCGGCCATCCGCAGCACCACGCCCTGGGGCTGCACCCCGCGGGGCCGGGCGGGCCGGGCATCTACGGGCACCCGGTGTACGGCTACCCGGCTTTGGGCGGGCAGCACCCGGCGCTTTCCTATTCCTATTCGCAAGTGCAGGGAGCTCACCCCGCGCACCCCTCCGCCGACCCCATCAAGCTGAGCGCCGGCACCTTTCAGCTGGACCAGTGGCTGCGGGCGAGCACGGCCGGCATGATCCTGCCCAAAATGCCCGACTTCGGCTGTGAGTATGCGCTGCTTCCTCCCCGTCTCCCGAGGCTTCCCTTAAACCCTCCCTATCGGGGCCGGCTGTGTTGTTATCGCTGCTTTAAATCAATAATTATTATAACGAAGGGATATCCGTCCTGAATCCCGCACTATTCCTTCCATAGCATCTCCCCCCATTTTCCCATGCGCGGAGATGGCAGCGCGCCCCGACCGCTCCGCGCAGCCCCAGGGCGCTGCAGGGGCAGCTCCGGGCATCCCCCCATATCACCCTTGTGCTTATTGACTCTTTTTTTTTTTCTTTTTTTTTCCTTTGACCGATGGATTCTAAACACCATCCTCTGAGCTCGGGGAATTGCGCGCAGAGCGGCACCCGCGGTGTCGTTTGACGAAAATCACGCCAGGAAAAACTAGTCGTGATTTTCAATATATATGAGGTGGCTTTTTTTTTTCTTTTTTTCGTGCTCTACGCGCGTTCGCGGAAACAAAACCCCATTGTTTGCTCTCGGATTGGGGTTGTTTGGTCTGCGGCGTTCAGGGAGGGGGGGGAAAACCCACAGAGGAGCGCTGTCCGAGCGCTGCCCTCAAATAGGTGCGGGAGGGGAGGCGGGGGGGGGGGGGAGAACGGGGATGATAAAATCGCACCGCGGTGCGAAAATAGCCCCGGGCCTCCGCTGCCCTCCCTGTTTTCTAAGCCGAAGGGGCGAAAGTGCCAAAATTCGGTGAGAACCGCGCGGTACCCCGCCTCATTCTTTTCATTTATTTTTGTTAGTGAAATCCTCGATTTGAAGCGTTAGTAAAAGGGGGAAATGGGCGAATACATAAAATATAGGGAATATGTATTTTTTTTCTCGTTCCAAGGCCGTTTCCCAGTTTCTCGGCCCTTATCGGTGCTCTCCCGAATGCGGTCGCTGCCGCATCCCGTGGCTCCGGGTTACGGTTGGGGTTAACCAGCGCATCCCGTCCATTGGCTTTAGGATTAATTAACGCATCCCTCTAATTGCCAACTCCGGGATTTGCTAAACGCAACAAATCGCCGCTCCCGGGAGATGCCGCTTCGCCGCGATCCCCGGCAGCGTTTCGTTGTGCGGCCCTCAGGAGAACGAAGATTTTCTTTATTATTATTTTATTTAAACGACTTGTTTCACACCGTCCCTTTTCCCTCCCTCCCCCCCCCACACACGCATCTTTTCGGTCCTATAGGGGATTCCCACCACCACCGCTCCTCTGTTCTCCTCTCGCTTCTCTCTTTGCTGCCCACCCCGCGCTGATGGCCGCGTTTCCCCCTTCTTTCCCCCCCCGCTCCCCCTCAGCTCAGGCGCAGTCCAACCTCCTGGGGAAGTGCCGGCGGCCGCGCACCGCCTTCACCAGCCAACAGCTGCTGGAGCTGGAGCACCAGTTCAAGCTCAACAAGTACCTCTCCCGGCCCAAGCGCTTCGAAGTGGCCACGTCGCTGATGCTCACCGAGACGCAGGTGGGGAGAGAAATAAGGGAAAATAGTGATAAAAGGGAAAAAAAAAAAAAAAAAAGGATGGGGAGGGCACGGAGGTGACACACCGAGAGGCGGTGGATGAGGAGATTGTCTCCCGTTTCTAGGTGAAGATTTGGTTCCAGAACCGCCGCATGAAATGGAAGCGCAGCAAAAAGGCGAAGGAGCAGGCGGCACAGGAGGCCGAGAAGCAGAAGGGAGGAGGAGAGGACAAAGCGGCCGAGGAGCTGCTGCTGCCCGGCCCGGAGAAAGGCGGAGGGAGGCGGCTGCGGGAGCTGCCCGACAGCGAGCCCGAGGAGGAGGAGGAAGAAGAAGAGGAGGAAGAGGAGGCCGAGGCCGGGCGGTGCTGCCCCTACCACTCCTCCGACTGCTCCGATGCGGACGAGGAGGACTCGCAGCCCGGGGGACGGCCCGGAGCCCCCCCGCCACCTCCCGCACAGCCGCAGTGAGCTCACGGCCTCCCCGTCGGCGCCGGCCCCGGCAACGGAGCCTCCTGGCCCCGCTCCCCATCCCGCTCTCCCATCCCTCCCAGCCCGGAGGGGGACGCGGAAGGCGATCTCCCGTCTGCCGAGCGGGAGGGAGGATTCTCACAGTGTTGTTATTGACTGAAAAGCGGCCACGACTTGAGCCCCTGTCCCCTCCCTGCCCTATCGGAACAGTTTCCTTCTTACTATATATCGGGAAAAGTGTTTATGTCATGAACGTTAAAACTGCTGCAAATCTCAATACTGTCTTTATTTTTGTATATCGTATTTATAAAAAAAGAAAAAAAAAATTCCTTTACTTATGCATGCTAAATTATTACCCAGCCCCTCCCGCTGTGAGGTGGGGGGGAGGAATATAAATAAAGAGCGTTTTGTACTGTGGGGACGTGTGCGGCTCCTTGGGCTGGGGGGTCTGGGGCTGTCGGACGTGCGATTTCCACCCGCTTGTGGGGCTGCAGATCCAGAGCGGCGTTAATTCGCCTTTTGAGAAGGCGAGAGAGGTTGTAAAAAGGGACGAGGGGTTCCCGGGGCCGAGAAGAGCCCCTCCGAAGGCCGAGCGAGGCCGCTCTGGGCTTTCTCTCTTCAATAAATCCGCGGATCAATCGGTTCTTGTCACGGCGGCGTTTCCCCTGCTCAATTAGAGCGCATTTAAATACAATCAACCGCCTCGGCCCCGCCTGCTCCCCGGGGCTCAACCCCGCCAACGAACGGCGGAACCGCGTCCGCGCAACGTGCGCGGGGAACCGCAACCGCGCAGCCCGGGCGCAACGGCTTGTATGGGAGAAAACGGGCTGGAGAACCTCCGAAACGCGTCCTGCTCCCCCTCCGACGTTTTATACATAGATCTATGTGATGTTTTTATTTTTTGCATTTAAAAGCCGTATATATTTCTATTTTTTTTTGATCATTATTATTATTACTGTTGTTATTTTAATTCTTCTTTTATTATTGTCGTTATTTTTTAAGCATCTTTTCACAGTTCCTTCTTAACCTTCGTTTCTCCCGTTCCGAGGAGCGCAGCCCAGTTTTCCTCTGCACGCAGAAAACCCCGATCCCGGATTGCTTCGAGCGTCGCTCCCCGGGATGGGATTTAGCGGCACTGCTGTTATTTATGACTTTACTGCCCGACACTCCCCAGGAATACGCTGTAATTCAAAGCCGCTCCCGGGGTAGAGCATAAATCTGGGCAGATCCTAGGTGTCAAAAACCTGATCGGGGGAAACTTGATTTAGGCTGATCGATGCCTGCTCCCCTTGCAGGGAAACAATCGAGTTACGGGCTCTGATTTAAATCGGTACAACGATTTTCCTTCGTTTGCAGGCCGCGGGGTTTGGGGAATATAAAGCGAGAAAAAGGAGGGGAGAGATGGCTTTGCGATTTTCAATCGCAATTTTCAATGCGGAAATTCGGCGCAGCACCGCGGCTTCTCTGCCCCCGAGCTCAAATGTGCCTCTCTGGCTGAGATCCATCTGCACTTCCCCCGAAATATCCCAAATCGGGCAACCTGTCTCGTTATCCTGAATAACGGTAATAGTAATCGTAAGGAGAACATAAGTGTAAGAAGTGAAATTTTTAAAAATATATATATATCAAGAGCGACCTGAGATCCCACCCTCAAAAAGAACCTCACTTCGTCCATTAATACCCAATTAACCCCCCGCTAATTAAGCACACCGACACGCCGCGGAGCTGTGTGCCCGAGCCCATGGAAAAGCCGCGCAGGGTGCGGGCAGCCGCTGCCGGGCTCCGTATCAAAGCGCTGCCGGTGTATTGTGTCTGTCTCAATAAAATTAATCTCTTTAAAGCCCGGCCCCTACAAGAATACCTTCAGTGTTCCAGACTACAAGGGCAAATATGTTTTTCAGATTCTGTTTTTATGGACGGATTAAAGTTTATTTTCCATAATAGGGCACCTAATAAAACTCATAAAGCTCTGTCAGTCTTACAGCTGGTGGCCTCATTTAACACTTTCACTTCGTAAATCATTTTACAGCTTACCAGGTGTTTCCAAAACCGAGAGGAGAGGAAGGGGGGAAGAGAACGAGGAGGGGGCACAGAGGAATTAAACGCTCTGCAGTCACCCGGCGGCCCCTCTCACGGTGGGATGCAAAGGTGGTGATCCCGATGGGGAGAAAATCCCTTTAAGTGGGATTTTCCATTTTGAAGGGACGAGGCTCATTAACAGAGGAACGTGGAGATGGATGAGGGGGTGGTTGTGGGACCCCATTATCCTATGCTGCCCAACTGAGCATCCCCACACATAGCCCAGCACTGCTCTAACCCACTGCCCAGTAGTGACCTCATCCCCCCAGTTGTGATTTAATGACTCTATTTGTTCCCCCACCCATCCTCAGGAGGTAGCAGGGCTCTTAAAGCCTCTCTGCCCTATTCGAGGAGTGGTGAGGTACGAACAAGAACCTGGAGAGGACATTTTCCTTTAAAAAAAGGCACCGTGCTTTAGGCATGGATGTCATTAACTGGCAATTTCATAAGCATTAAGTGCTAAAACAAAAGAACCCAAATAGGAGCCATATGGTCGAGGTAAACCTGCTAAAAGTCTTTCAAATGGGAAACCATAAATATATAATCCCCCATGAAACTTCTGGGGATGGAATTCCTCACTAGCAGAAGGACTATTGATTGTTTCTGAAGCCCAAACTCCTCCACTCAGCCAAAGCTAAATGGATTAAATACAGTTTTCATGCAGTGCTCAGGAAGATCCCATCCCACACCACATCCTCCTGCAGTGCCTTTTCCCCCTTTCCCTGCTGCTGGCACCCATGGCTCATAGAATCATAAAATGACTGGGGTTGGAAGGGACCTCAGAGCCCTGTTTGAATCCTGGGAATGGACATACAGAATGAACGATGGAATAAGAAGCTGGTAGGGAAACACGGTCTCTCTTTGGCATTGTGTGGGGTGACCAAATTCCATTCTGCTCCCAAAATTCACATCTGTCCATAATTCAATAGCAGCTGAGCATGGTTCTGGGAGTTGCTTGGTGACCATGGTACAGCAGGTTGGTGTTGTATTTTTCACTAGTGCTCACATGGACAGCATTCCAGCTAAGGGGTATTGGAGTTATCCTGGATGAGATTAGGCATTTTAGCCTTTTCTAGGACTTTTTCACAGAATCACAGAATTGTAGGGGTTGGAAGGTATCTCTGGAGATCAAGTATTCCAGCTTCTGATTTACTTTTTTTTTTTGCCATGAAGAATATGCTCTGGGAACTGAACAGCTTCAGCTCACTGAGCCCTGGGGCTGTTGGTGAAGCAATGGAAGTACCTTCACGGAATAGAATCGCTCACAGTATTTGGGAGGTCAGAGAGATCCTTGTCTGATCACAAACTATTATCAAAATCTGGCTGCCAGCTTCCTTTTGGTAAAGACACAGGTTTCTCTGAGTCATCTCTAACTGCTAACTGATGCTCCAACATCAGCAGATGAAGAGAACAACGAGCTCTTGCTTTTGTAAAGCCCTACAGAGTTCCTCAATGTGTGAAGCTGAGCTCCATTTTACTGCCTGCAGGACATTTGCAAGAACATCACAGTTTCCTCTAATTAAGCCATTATTTGGAATTATTATTCACAGGACCTCTGCTGATGTTCTTGGCCAATTGCAACTGCTGGCAGCTGGGGCTCATGCGTACAGCAGCACCCCTCGTTCTGCCTCCCCCTACCCATGCCCTAAGGATGGAGAATTCCCATCCCTGTAGGAGGCTGTGGTTGCATCTTCCATAAGCACAAACCAGAGCAGGCAGCACAGACTGCAGCCTGGGGATGGGGCACAGGGCTGAACCCAGCTGGGAGCCTTGAGTCTCCCGATGCCTTTTTGGGAAGGTGAGTGGAAGTCTCCCCTTGCTAATTTCTGCAGTGTAACAGCAGCTGGCGATGTGCAGCACCCTGCACACAGCTGATGGCTCATTCTGGGCTTTGACATGATGAATCTCTAAAGCATGTATTGCTGCAGCAGGTGGGTGCAATTTTAGAAATGTTAATGAGTAATTACATAAAGGTTGTCTGCAGTCAGTGATGTTAATCACTGTGCTTTTGCCAGGGGTAATTAAAACAGCAATCCAGCAACACAAGCCAGTGGCTCCCGCTGTCTGTGCTGCCTTCCTCCCTCCCCAGCTCCCATCTCTTGCTCTTCTTCAGGGATTTTCCTGCTTTTTTCCACCTTAGGGCCCCCATCTTCCCTGAAGTGCCCGACTGAAGCCAGAGGATGTCCAAGCTCCCACTTTCACTTACTCTTGGATATGAGGAGAAGCAGACCCGGGGCAATGCCAGGCAGAGAGCTGCTGCCCCTGCAGTCCTGCCCTGAGCACCCCAGCACCAAGCTCTGCTCTGCAGGCACTCTGCTGGGACAGCACGTGCCAGCAGCCTCACCTCTCCCTGCCCTCCACTTCATCACCCAGCTGCTCTTCCCAGCTTTTTGTGCCTCAGTGACCTCTGCTGAAAGGATCGCGGCCACTATTAATCACTATCGAGGAGTTGGAGTAACAGCTATGGGAGTATAAAGTCTGTTGTTGCAAAACTTATATATATTTTGTCTACGTTTTAACCTTCAGCCCACACTTAGGTGCTGTTCGGTGGATCCGGAGTGGGTGTCCCAACCATCCAGGAGCTCTGGCAGGTGCAGGTAGTTCTGTTTTTCCGCTGACCATCTGTTCAGAGAGAATGTCTCAGTCATTGTACAGGCCCTCGTGGTGCTCGTTGATTTAGGGTGGGAAGTTCTTTTATCAGCTGGGAAATGGCAAAATGCCTGAACGTGGAAGAGGCACTCCTTGGCTCTTCCAGAACTTCCTCTTTACTACACCCACAGCTGATATTTGAGCATCCATTTTAGCAGTGGAGGAACAATGCTGGAAAAGCTCAGTGTGCCTCAGATAGCTCTGCATCAACCCTGGGCAGCTCCAGCTCCTTCCTGCAGGAGCCATTTTGGGGAAAGCATCACTCAACATCCACGGAGGTGTCAAAACTTGGTCAAGAACAAAGGTCTGCTTCTCCCTCAGCAGCCCAAAGGGTGCTCAGAGCTCGCAGACCCAGAGAAGGGCAGTGCCAGAAGCATTGATGGGATTGTGATGTTCCCATATTGCCTTCAGACTGCAGACAAAAAAGCCAAACCCATTCAGTGCTGCAGCAGGAGGCTGCTGCCTCCATCTGATCTAACCATTTAGGTGGGGAAATCTGGAAAGTAAGAATCATCTTGTTGACGCTTTTAGGGCAAGCTGAAATAGAGATTAAGAAAAAAAAAAACATTCACCCAGAATGTAAGGCTTTGGCTGAGGCAGGGAGATGATTTTGTGCATAAGGTGGAAGCTTAGAACATGAAAGCAAGATGATTTTCTTTTCCCAAGCTGAGTACATCTGGATCTCTTGTTTTTGTAGCAGAGCCATGCACTCCTCCCTTCCCAGCTTCAGCTGATTTTTAGTGAAAACTCTGCCATGCTCAGGAACCTTTCACATTTGGAAATGAAACATCCATTTCACTGCTATTGACAGCAGGCTTTAATAGAACCATTCATAAAGGGTCTCTATTTGTGGTGTTGCCGTGCACCTTTCCTTCCAGTTACATCATGTTTCTTTGCCATTTCAGAATGTTTTCACTTTAAAGCCTTCCATTCATCCACTGGTTTTCATGAGTCAACCAAGCATTATATCCTAGCCTATGAGTTTTAAGAAATTTTGGTGCCAGTAGGGATCCATGAGCATCACCAGAGGGTGAAGGGAGCTCCTCCAGGGGGTGAAGTCACTAGAAGTGGTTGATGGTGAACATCACAGCTCTACTTATGATTTCTTGAAATCTGTTCCATCCAAATAGCCCATGCCTCTTGGAAAAGTGACCTACAAATCTAATTGGCCTATCAAACTCAACCAGAGCAAGCAGATTCTGGACCTGGGATGGGGCAACGAATGTATTGGATATTAGTATGGACATATATACAGACTGGGGGATGAGAGAGCAGCCCTGGAGAAGGGATCAGGGGGTTCTGGCTGTGTGCAGGTTGGGTCTGAGCCAGCAGCGTGCCCCGGAGCCAAAGGGCCAACCGTACCCTGGGGGCAGCAGGCCCAGCACTGCCATGGGGCTGGGGACGGGCTGTCCTGTTGTGCTCTGTGCTGTGCAGCCTCACCTCCAGCACTGGGTGGGCACCACACTATAAGAAACTGATAAAACTACTACGGTGTCCAAAGGAGGGTTACAAAGATGGGAAGGGTCTGGAAGGCAAGGGGTGTGAGGAGCACTGAGGCTCCTGGGTTTGTTGGTGCAGAGCAGAGCAGGTTGAGGGGAGGCATCATGGCGGCTGCAGCTCCTCACAGGGGCAACGACAGGGCCTGAGGGAATATCGTGGAGCTGTCAGGGGAGGGGCAGCTGGGCGTGAGGGTGGTGGGCATGGAATGGGCTGCCCAGGGCAGTGGGCACAGCCCCAGTGCTGGAGCTCACGGAGCATTGGGACACCGCTCTGAAAACAGGGCTGGGTTTGGGTGCTGCTGTGTGGAGCCGGGGTTGGACTCGGTGATCCTTACGGGTCCCTTTCAGTTCGGGCTGGTCTGTGATTCTGTGCTGACACTCAGGGATTCGTTGTGCCGAAAGCTCTGCCGTTTGCATTTGGCAGCTGCTCCCGGGCCGCAGCCCCCAGCACACAGAGTTCACAGTGTGAACCAAGCGATCCCAGATGTGCTGGGAGCGCGGTGTTGAGTTGCACACCTTTGCTAACGGGGCAGACCTGCTTGCGTTTGCGCTTTCGGAGCACGGCTGCTATCAGCTCATCGTCCCCCCTGCACGGGACAATGGAAAATGGGAAGTTCAGAAGCTTGGAGAACTTGGAGAGCTCAGGTGCAGAGCTAAAGCCCTGCCAGAAGGACTGGGGATGATTTATCAGCCTCACGCTCCGGCCAAAGCTGAAAACCAGACTTTACTGCCCTGTTAATATTGATACAAAAAACAGAGAAAGGGAAAAACATCATTGGTCAGCTTAAAAGAAAACAAAACCTGAAGCAGTGATAATAGCTGTGAGGGGGTACTACTACGTAGTTTTAAGCAGGAAACTTTCTGCTGTATAGCTAAAAAAAACCCCAAGCATCCGGCTTGCAGCTAAAGGCACCTAATGCAAATCCCACTGTTTTCCACCAGCTTGTAAGTAAGGATTGGTGCAGCTGCTCGCCTTTCCGGTATGGGGTATTTATATCAATTTATATTTATATCAATTCAAAGCCCTCTTCTGCTTCATGTAAGGATTCTGCAGCATCTTTCTTAGTATGAAAAAGGGAACATTTCTTACAGGACTCTGCCTGCAGGAAAGCTTCTCTATAAAAGTCTTTTTTTTTTACATTAAGGGTGGTAAAGCACTGGCAGAGGTTGCCCAGAGAGGTGATGGATGCACCATCACTGGAGGCACTCAAGGTCAGACTGGATGGGATGCTGAGCACCTGATAGAGCTGCAGGTGGAGCTCACTGCAGGGAATTGGACCAGATGACCTTTAAGTGTCCCTCCCAACTCATTCTATGATTCTCTGCAAGAAGCATTTTGTACATGAGCTACTGAGCATTTACCCTGTGGTAGACAAAGCTGTCATACCTTCCCTAGCAGCTTATGTTCAGCCTGCAGTTCTGCAGGGAGCTGCCTGCCAGCACAGGGCTTGTTGCTGTTATAGGGGCTGAGCCCAACTATAAGAGGAGGCACATTGGCAGGGCTGCCTTTACTGGGGATGTTTTTTTTCCTCCAGGGTTTAAAAGAAGTGTATTGTCATCTCAGCTTTCCTTTCCACATGTGCCTTACAGCCTCAGGATGCAGTGGATTTTGGCTGCTTTCCTTGGAAATTCAGTTTTTCAAAAAAAAAATTTATGTTTGTGCATAAATGTGATGCTGCAGGCAGGTAAAGTCTGCTTCCTTCAGAAAGAAAGCAATAGCTGTGAGAATAAAACACAATAGATGTTTGACATAAATAATAAGGCAAGTATGCTTTAAAAAAAAATAGCAATTGTAATTTTAGACTGTAAGGTTAAAGACATCTCCTCTAATTGCACAGCAACACCTGCACCGCACCGCCTCAGCCAGCTGCAGTAAGGGAATGGGCTCAGACCCATAAAACACCAGGCAGTATTTCCACGGGCAGTGGTGCTCAGTTCTGATCAGAGCAAGGCACACAAGCAGGACAGCCTGCTGCACTGAATTCCAGGGAGATGGATCAAGATCTGCCTTCAAGAGCAAAGCTGCCTCAACCACCTTCTCAGAGCAATGCATTGTATGTTATTAAACCACAAACGAGTTGAAATGCTGGATCCCCCTCAATCCCTGCAAAAAGGTAATTAATTGGGTGGCTGCTGCAGCCCAGAGGGAGTGACTTTTTACCTGTGCCCCATACATTCCATAGCAGTCACAATTTCTAGAGGCTTGCACAGATTTTCTCCCATGCCAAGCCTCCAAAACTTGACCAGGTTTATCACAGTTGTTTGTAAAGGTGCTGTTTACAGGCACACCTCAGCATTCTGCCTCCTGTGTCACACAGTCCACCAAAGCACAGCACCACGTTGCCTATACTACTGTTCTAATTAGTATGGATTTTGAAAAGATTTCATACTTTTCCTTCTGTTGCATCTAAGACCCAACTGAGCAAAAATGAGCATTCCAAGTGGTTAAATCTGCCAGTGGTCTGAATCAGGCTAAAGAAAGCATCTTTACTCATTTTTTTAGTTATCTCTTATTCGCAAACTATGTGCAAGCATAATCTGTGATTCTGAAACTGAGTCTCTCCAATCCCAGGATAACCTTTAACCAGTCCTTCCCAGAAGAGGAAGGCCAGAAAAACAGCTCCCTGCTGGGAGCAGCAGACCTCCTCCCAAAAGTGTCCCTCACACAACCAAGCAAAATATCCCACACTCAGCTCCAATTAAAAAAGAAATATTCTTATAAGGCTCATTTGCTGCACAACTCAAGACTTCCTTGCAGATGCCTTCTGGGAGCAAATTTTCCCAATGGGAACAGATCCAAAGAAAGAGAACAGATCAGTGGTAACAAATGCAATTAGGAAGCACCATAACTGATGGGTCTGCTGAGCAGCTGAGGGCAAGTCCACCATAGAAATTAAGCTGGCAGCCATCAAACAGGTAGATGCAGTACTTACTATGAACTTGGGAGTGCCCCCCACATTTCAGGTCACTCCCCTGCTGGCTATCCAGCTGGAATAAAAACAATATGAACAGCAGAACACTTCAGAAAATCAGTTTCATGTGTCGTTGTGGGGTGACAAAATAATATGAGTGTTACACAAAGAAACGTACACAGATTTTTAAGGCATTTGAATGGGAAGTGGAAGCAAACCCTTAAAGAAGATATTCCCTTACTAAAAGACTGCTATTATTCATGACTAGAAAATCTGATTAGCACAAATAATAAAGACTGGTAACTCCAATTTTAAAGCTGAGTAAAACAGGTTAAAGGAGCATAAAACTCTGTTTAATCTCTACACCCAACATAACTGGGCAAAGTCAGATCCCCAAGTCTTTTTACTACAACAATTCATAGAATTAGCTGATCAA